GTTCTGCAGCCTCATCAGCTTCTCCGCGTGCTCTGTCTCCTCCCGGGCCTGGCGAAGGAAGTACCTGGCGAAGTTGTTCAAAGCCACGTCATCTCGGGAGAAATAATAGGCCATGGACAGGTATACATAGGACGCATAGAGCTCCAGGTTGATCTGGCGGTTGATGGCGGCCTCGGAGTCGGGGTGGAAGTTCTGGCGCACCCGGGAGCGGGAGGTGGTGGATCTGGGAGGGTCCCGGGAGGAGGCAGCTGCGGCCAGCGGGCGGCTGGGGGCGACCAGCAGGGGATCCGGGGGGCGCCCAGGGGCCCAGCGCCTACGGAGCGCAGAGCCGCCGCACATGCAGCGCAAAGATACCTGCAAAGGGCTGATGCGCTTAGAGAGGAACCAGAAACAGGACAGCATGGCTCCTCCTCTGCGGAAGTGGGGAAACCGAGGCCAGGGCTGCACAGCGCCGGGTGAGGCGCTAGGGCGGCATGGCTGAATCCGAACGCAGCCCTAAGTGACGGTGACTGCGTCACACGCCCTGTCCCTTCTAGAGGCGCGGAGTTCCACGCTGAGGGCGGCCTGGGCAGCTCCGGGTAGGCCAACCCGTGCCAGCTCACCACTCCTTTCATCTCCACATTCGCCCAGTCGTCCACGCAAGATTTCTGTTCATAGGCGTTTGTCATTTATTTCCCCTCAGCTAAAAATACTGTCAAGAGTAAGAACTGTGACTTGCCAAAGAAGGGACCAAACTGTACTCGCCTTTCCTCTGACCTTTTCCTATCTAAGGACCTGAGGGGAGGCAAGGTAGTAAAAAGAGCTTAATATCTGTGAGATTAAGGGTCTACATCCAAAGCAGGTGCTTACACATTGACTAACTGCTTATATTAACATTCTTAAGTATGGAAATAATTGCCAGCATGCTGCACAAATTTTAAGTCTGTTTGTTTTAAAACACATACGTATTTTTAAATGTAAAATTCATCTTAATTGTGAAAGAGATGGGATACTGTAGAGATGGTAGGAGGAATACATATAAACTGGCTCTGAACTTGATGTTACTTTCCCTTTTCTGTTAATGCAAAGATACTTTTTTTTTTAAAAGACAGCTTTTAAAGAATTAAACTTTAAATAGCATTCAATCTTAAAAGACTATATGTTTAATTGTTGTAGGGTATTGGGGAAATAAGTGTGCTCTCACAGATGAAAGTTCAAAACAAATCCCTAATACTTCCTTTACTCAGAGATAACCATTATTAAAATGTTAATGATAATTCTCACAGATTAAAATACAATAATGAGAAATATATGTATCAGACACATGAATGTGAGTACATATGTATTTTAACAGCTTTATAGAGGTGTGATTGACATACAGTAAAGTGCAGATACTTAAAATGTACAATTTGACAGGGCTTGGCATAGGTATACATCTATGAAACTATCACCAAAATCAAGGTAATGGACATATTCGTCTCACTGCAAAGTGTTCTCATGCCCCATTGTACTTTGTAATCCCTTCCGTCTACCTATCTCTGTCCCATTCAAGACAACAACTGATCAGCTTTTCACACTAGTTGATAAGTCATTTTCTAACATTTTATATAATGGAATCAACAGTATGTACTTCCTTTTTGCCTACTTTTTTCCCCTTAGCTGAATGATTTTGAGATTCATCCATGTTGTAGCTTGTATCAACAGCTAGTTCCTTTTATTGTTGAGTGGCATTCTATTGTATGGATATGCCACAATTTGTTTATGCTTTCATCTAATGATAGATGTTTTGGTTTTTTATAGTTGTTGACTATTAAAATAAAGCTGTTATGGACATTCCTGTATGAGTTTTTGTGTGATCAGTTGCTCTCATTTCTAGTGTAGTGGAACGGGGGGTGGGTGGGGGTTAAATAATAAGTTTGTGTTTAATTTTTTAAGAAACCTTCAAATTTTCCATGGTGATTGTACCATTTTACATTTCCATTAACATTGTGTGTAAGTTCAAATTCCATCATGTCTTTACTTACACTTGGTATTGGCAATTATTTAATTTTAATTACTGTTGGGAGCCAACATCTATAGCTACATGGCTGAGGCCTATAAAGGCCCATCTGGAAGATCGCCTCTGACATAGGATATCAGTTATACCTATAATATTGGCATGTGATTAGTGACCAGTGTGCATACATGGCAGTAAAACTTATAAGTAAATCTCTATACACCTGATGGAAAGTTGCATAGCAGAATTATTTTTCTCTGTCTTTCTAAGTTTTACTTCTTTCTAGATATTTTTTAACTTCTATTTCCTGGTAGACTAGGTAGTCAGCTCTTGTTCCCAAAGGCAGTTTCTTCTAGGATTAAGATTAGAAACTAAATTACCATAATAGTTTTATTGCCCTGCCTCTAGTCAGGCAGCATGTTTTTCTAGTTTCGTTACATGCCGAAACTCTGTTTGCTTCAGCCCATGGCCATTGTCATGGTAACCATGCAGTCCATTATCCAAGAGTGTGACAGCTACTATTTGATTTTTAGAATAGACTTGTTTGGATAAAACATACATTTAAGACGATACAATTTCCATCGAAAAGATTTAAACAGTAATAAGCATTCATAGAAAACTTTTAAGTTTTGTTTAAGGTTTTAAGTTTCCTTTTCTTAGATTATGACTTTAGTTCCTGTTCCTGTAGGCCAATTTTAAGTATACCAAAATTTTCCCAACGGTGCTGTTTTTGCTTCTAATATGACAATAGGAAATTTTACACATAGCCATGTATTAATATACTAGGAAAAAAGATTTAAGTTTTGGGTTAAAGTCCAATCACTAGATCATATAAAAATTAAAGTTTAAGTTTATGAAACTCATATAAGTCATGGTTAGGTTTTATAGTTTAAGAATAAGTTTTAATTGTTATAGAATTACAGGACACTACGTTGAATCATAATAGGTTAATAGAATAACTAAGTCATTTAAGTAAACTTATAGATTATAGTATAGTGTTAAGTTAATAATATTAATCGTTAAAAATATTTGGAGTCAGTGAACTTGGATTGAACCTAGAGTTAACTCAGAAAAGTTTTTGTATTAATCAGGGTTTAGAACAAAGAGTATAATATGAATGATTTATTGAACACTATGGAAGACATTTTGAACAATTGAAATTGTGCACCTGTGACCTTGATGTGAGTTTTGTGAAGCACATCAGGCATCATGGAGTTCGAATTGTTTGCTCGAAACTTGCAAGTCTCGTGATGGTCTTGTGATGCATGGTTTGTAAAGCACGGAACTTGTACGCCCCTAGCAAGTGATTATCACACTGCTGGAGGGTATAGAAAATGGTATATAAGTTGGAAAAGGTTTGAATAAAATTGGCTTCAGTCCTGATCAGACTGTTCCCAGAAGAGCTGCCTCCGAGTGGTCTTCTCGCCATCTCCTGATTCTCCGGTGCGGGTCCTAACCCACCCTTGGTCAGTGCTGGTCACCAACAAATCACAAATTAAAATTTTAATTTAAGCCATCCTAACTGGTGCATACTGGTGTTTCAATGTGCTTTTAATTTGTATCTCCATAACGATTAGTGATACTAATTGTGAGTATATTTTCAACTGCTTTTTGCCAACCATATATTTTTGGTGAAACATATGTTCAAATCTTTAGTCCATTTATATATTAGGTCTTTCAAAAAGTTGTTTGATTTCTTATGTTTACTGTCTGGGTCTTTGATATTAGCACTGTTTCTGTTCAAGTCTTTTCAGATATTCGTTATATTATCTGTGTGTTACTTTCTCCATATTATTTTCTTTTATTTTCCTAGGCAAGTTAATTGTCTTTCTAGGTTAGTTTCATTAGTTGTAAATTTAGGATACTGCTTACCTCCCATGGGTGGTTGAAAGAAATAAGAGAATGTATGCAGAGCACTTATCATAGTGCCTGATACAGAATAAGCACCCAGAATATCTGTTAATAGTTTTTATTGATAATTTCTGTTTAATTATATAAAATCAATCATTTGATATCATTTAGTGAATAATAATATGAAGTTGTTATATTTATTTAAATGGAAAGACCTATACATCTTACAAAGAACATTTATATGTTTTATATTGTTGCTATTATGTATGGATACTGAAGTAGGAATGATTTTATGTGGAAATGTCAAACTTGTAGTTTTGTAGTAAGCTCCTTGCTCTCAAGTGAGCTTTTTAAAATATACCATAAATAAAAAAGGATAGTTAAGATCTTGTTGCACTTAAACTCTGCTAGTAGAATGTGACTGATATTTACCAGGCAATTTCTCACTAATTTTTACTTCTCTAAACCCATCTTTGCTTTTAATTTCCCCAAACTTTTGCTATTCCTAAAATGTAGTTCCCTAAAGAGAAGCTATGAAAATTATTGCTTAGAGTGATATAATATGCTGACTACTGCTACTATTGTTTTAGAAAAGTTGATGTTTTTATAGAAATGCTTATTGCCAAAGTAATAAAATGCATAGATATGAAACAAATGCAATACACAAAATATGAGAGAATGCCATAAAACACAATATGCATGTAAATATTTCATGTTAATTTGTCAAAGACATTTCTTCTTTCTGTTACAAAGGTCATCATATAATTTGTTAGACTTTAAAAATACAAGAATGTAGCAGGTATTATGTTGATCTTATAGGTATTTTGATTTCTAGTATTCACAGTAAAATTAGCATTGTTCTAACAAAATACAAACGCAGACCATCACTCAATACACTTCATAACTCATTTCTTTCATAGTTTTAATATCTTCTTCTCTTCCTTGAAAATCCCCAAAACTTTAATGATTCTCTGGGATTCCCTCTGCTTCTTCACTTTCTTTTCATCTAGAACTCATCTTTCCAAACTCTTTCACTCTCTCATGAAATTTATCTCATCTTTTAAAATCTCATCAAATATATTACCTTCTCTGAACCATCATTCAGAGTTAATCATTACTTTTTTTTGGTCAAAGTACTTTGTTTATATCAAGAGCATATCGTACTATGTTATAATTCTTTATATATACGAGGAGGGACCCAAGACAGACAGGAATTTTTTCATTAAAAAATTGTGTATTTCCCATTATGTTTAAACTTCAATCATCTTCACAGTACTCGTCGTTTCATGCAATACCTCTATCAAGGCACTTTTTCCTTGCTCAGTTTTTGAACTCATCTATTTTGATGCCCTTTAGTGCTTCTGCTGGTTTTTTGTTTCACCTCTTCCCCACATTGGCAAAATGTTTCCCTTTGAGAACTTTTTCATCCAGGGAAACAACAAAAAATAATTGCTCAAGGTGAGATCATGAGACTAAGGAGGGTGGGGCATGGGGTTATGCCATTTTTGGTCAAAAACTGCTGAACACTTAGCATGGTGTGGGCAGATGCACTCATAAATCACCCATCATGAAATAG